CCTGTCTCAGCCTCCCAAAGTGCTGGGATTACAGGTGTGAGCCACCATGCCTGGCCAATAAGTATTTTAATACTTGCTTTTCGTGTAATATGCTAGGCGTGGTAGTACAATTTTAAGGATACGGTTTTTATAGTGTAATAAGTTACAGCCTATGCTGGGTAGCGGAAATTCCTGAGTAGCAGTTTGTGAAGGAGATAAAATAATAATCTTATAATTTATACACCTTTTCCTTAAATTGAAATTTTTCTCTTATATTTTGGGGGTCAACTTTTATTTCAGTGTCTAATCAGGAATTGAAAAATTGCTTTTCTGTTTTTGTTTTTGTTTTTGTTTTGAGACAGAGTCTTGCTCTGTCGCCCAGGCTGGAGTGCAGTGGCACGATCTCAGCTCACTGCAAACTCCACCTCCCGGGCTCACACCATTCTCCTGCCTCAGCCTCCCAAGTAGCTACAGGCGCCCGCCAGCACGCCCAGCTAATTTTTTGTATTTTTGGTAGAGACAAGGTTTCACCGTGTTAGCCAGGATGGTCTTGATCTCCTGACTTAGTGATCTGCCTGCCTCAACCTCCCAAAGTGCTGGGATTATAGGCGTGAGCCACCGCACCCGGCCCGAAAAATTGCTTTGTTTTAAAGTCAAATTGGAAAGGATATTTGCTGGTGGGTAGGACCACCAATAATAATAAATAACAAATAATTATTTTTAATAAAAAATAAGCTAGCATAAGGAATATTTTTTTTTTCCTTTTTGAAACAGAGTCTTGCTCTGTTGCCTAGGCTGGAGTGCAGTGGCACAATCTTGGCTTACTGTAACTGCCACCTCCCGGGTTCAAGCAATTCTCTGCCTCAGCTTCCCGAGTAGCTGGGATTACAGGCGTCCAGCACCATGCCTGGCTAATTTTTGTATCATTGGTAGAGACGGGGTTTCACCATCTTGGCCAGGCTGGTCTTGAACTCTTGACCTCATGATCCACCTGCCTTGGCATCCCAAAGTGCTGGGATTACAGACGTGAGCCACTGTGCCCAACCAAGGAAGATTTTTTAAATGACTAAATAGAAAATATTTTTAATATAAAATCTTGAAGTATAATTTATTAATAAGTTTGCCATGTGTGTTTACCACCTGAATTATCACTTAGATTATTAAACAGTAAAAATTTAGGTATATAGTTGCTGTTTTAAAAAGTTTTTTTTTTTCGCCAGGCACAGTGGCTCAATGCCTGTAATTCCAGCACTTTGGGAGGCTGAGGCGGGTGGATCATGAGGTCAGGAGTTTGAGACCAGCCTGGCCAACATAGTGAAACCCCGTCTCTACTAAAAATACAAAAATTAGCCTGGCATCGTGGCTCGTGCCTGTAGTCCCAGCTACTTGGGAGGCTGAGGCAGGAGAAGACTGGAACCCGGGAGGCAGAAGTTGTGGTGAGCTAAGATTGAGCCACTGCACTCCAGCCTGGACAACAGAGCAAGACTCCATCTCAAAAAAAATAAATAAAAGTGTTTTTTCACATCAAATTGATATTTTTTGTAATATAAGTTTTACTGAATAGTTGTTAACTGAATATCTTTGCTTACATTTGCTAAATGGTTACGAATATACTAAATACTTAACATGTTGGAGTTTAAGGCTTCTGAGTTCTAAAATTCACTGAAAATGATTTGGGATATTTTGTCTCTTGTCTGTGAAATGAAACAGAATTTTAATAGAAAGAACCTGGTTTAAGTATTATGCAGTTTTCTTCTGAAAACTCAGTATTCTTTTTATGATGACAATTCCACTGTGATTACCACATTTTCTTTGCTTCCTACTGAAGAAGCTCTTAGTGCGCTTGCAAAGAACATAAGGAGTCATGTCAGAGGTCAGCTATTTGAGTCCATTTTCCCACAGCCGCCTGGTGCGAGTGATCTTTTACTGTGTTTTAAAAAAATGGGCAAGGATTAGAGGGGATTAGAAAGAATATTACCCTCCTGAATATAGGCCCAAAGCACTAAGGGGAGAGAACCCAACCAGGCATCAAATGGGCTTTGCTTGACCAGGACACAACCTCTGCTGCATTCCTTTAAGAAACTGAATGGGAAATGTTAAGTCCCCAAACTGGATTAGTAAATAATCTCATAGTTTGTGACATCTGCTAAAATAAATTGATGAGCAGACTACATTCTTACACTTTGAGAAGAGAGCCAAAGACATCAAAAGTAAGAGTAATTAAAGATGGGCATTAAACTTAGTAATTGTTGGAAAGGTACATTTCATAAACCAAAAAATTATTTTAGATACAATATGAGGAGTACATGTATATTGATTAAATAAATTAAGGCTTAAATTTTGAAACCACTACAGCTTTTTGTTTTTAAGAGTCTTCCTAGAGTCTTATTGCTTGTAGCAGTTTTACAAAGTGTTTCACAAATTCAGCTCTTTATGTTATCCCATTAGTTTGTATAACAACCTGAGGAACTAGAATTTGAAATCTGAGAATGTATCTTTTGAGACACCTCTGGAATGTTTCTCTTTTTATATTTTATAAGAGAAGTTAACATAATTTGTATCTTATGACACATAATTTGATATCAAATTGTTTAGAACCAAAGAGGTAATTTCAAACCTATTCTAGAAGGGCAAGTGCATTCTGGTCTCAGTCTTTGGAGATAGTATTTAGCTAACTAAATAAGTTTTTAAAGGTTTTAAGTTGACTAATAGTAAAGATGCTGTACAAATAGTTAACTTTGTATCTTTCTACATATAACAAGTACATTTGATTGGTATAGCAACTGTGATTACACTGCTTTTGTTATAAATGATAATATTAGTACAAGTATTCTCATTAGGAGTTTAAGATAGAATTTAGATTCATAACTGAAGAAGAATTGGTAGACTACAACTTCTTTAACAGGCACATTAAATGCATCCTGCACTGTGCTCTCTTGGTTCAGTGCCTTTACTCAAGATGGCCCTGTGCTTTGTTTATGTCCTCCTGCTGTTCTCCTCACTCCCCAGTCCGCTCATCCACATTCTACCTATCTGTAAATATCAGGTCAAATCCCATCAAGTGGTTTATTTCTAGCCCCTAAATCATAATACTTCCTAAACATAGAGTTATCATATGACTCAGCAATTCTACTCCATGGTACTTACTCAAGAGAAAGAAAAACATATGTTCATTGTGAAACTTATACACAAGTGTTTATAACAACATTATTCATAATAGCCAAAAGCTAAAAACAACCAAATATCTGTCAGTTGATGAATGGATAAACAGAACATATATACCATACATAAAATGCAGTATTATTCAGCCATTAGAAGAAATGAGGCACAAGTACCATGCATGCTACAAGGGTAAACCTTGAAAACATTATGCTAAGTGAAAGAAACCAGTCACAAAATGATTCCATTTGTATGAAATATTCAGAATAGGCAAATCTATAGAGATATAAGATAGATTGGTAGTTGCTTAAGGGGGTTGGGGGAGTAGGGGAGAAGTGAGTTGTGACTAAAGGGTACAGGATTTTCTTTTGAAGTGATGAAAATGTTCTAAAATTGACTTTGGCGATAGTTGCACATATCTCTGAATATATTAAAAATCCTTGAATTGTATACTTTAAATGGGTGAATTCTAAGGTGTGTGAATTACATCTCAATAAAGGCTGTTATTTAAAAACTAAATTTAAAAAATTAATACCTCTATCTGTATTCCCATATATTGCACTTTTTTTTTTCTTTTCTTTTTTTTTTTTTTTTTTTGAGACAGAGTCTCTCTGTCGCCAGACTGGAGTGCAGTGGCTCAATCTTGGCTCACTGCAACCTCCGCCTCCCAGGTTCAAGCGATTTTCCTGCCTCAGCCTCCTGAGTAGCTGGGACTATAGGCAGGCACCACCACACTCAGCTAATTTTTGTATTTTTAGTAGAGATGGGGTTTCACCATGTTGGTCAAGATGATCTCCATCTCCTGACCTCATGATCCGCTCACCGCAGCCTCCCAAAGTGTTGGGATTATAGGCATGAGCCACTGCGCTTGGCCTTGTACGTTGTTTCTACCTCAAATAAAGTACTCACCAGAGTCTTGTTATAATTAGTCACTTAAGAAATCTGTCTTTTCCATTGCATTATGTAGCTCCAGAGAACAGGCAGAGTGTTCTTTGGTATTCCCTAACAACCATAGTGCTTTGAACTTAGTAAATATGAATTTAATTGAACTTTTCCACAATTAAGTTCTTTCACCTATAAAATGTAAATAAGAGAAAAAAGAATTGAATGTTGCCACAAATATTGTTCCAAAATTGGATTTCATAACTTTTATATTCTTCTTTTCAGTAGGAAATGGCTTAATTAAAAATAAAAAATAAATAAATTTTAAAAATAAAAAATATGGGCTGGGCGCGGTGGCTCAAGCCTGTAATCCCAGCACTTTGGGAGGCCGAGACAGGCGGATCACGAGGTCAAGAGATCTAGACCATCCTGGCTAACACGGTGAAACCCTGTCTCTACTAAAAATACAAAAAACTAGCCGGGCGAGGTGGCGGGCGCCTGTAGTCCCAGCTACTAGGGGAAGCTGAGGCAGGAGAATGGCATAAACCCAGGAGGCAGAGCTTGCAGTGAGCTGAGATCCGGCCACTGCACTCCAACCTGGGTGACAGAGCGAGACTCCGTCTCAAAAAAAAAAAAAAAAAAAGTGTAATTTTTACATTTAATTCATTTTTGGAAAAATAAATAGTTGCTCTCATATTACCTCCTCAGCTCGAGTTTCCATTTTGTATTTAGCCAGGCCACATATATGCCATTTATCACCTTATTTTTACCTACAGAAATATTCTGGTTTTCATAATTTGCATATATAAGCATTTTATACACGTTATCAGTAGAATCTTCATGTCATTTCAATTAGTTTTTAAAAAATCAGGTTGACTTTCTAACACTTCGAATCTACAGTTTTATGGGTGTTTGAATTTAACACAGTTTAATTTTTCTTTTTTCTGTTGTGTGTATATGTGTGTGTTTTACTTTTTCAGTATTTATTAGAGATGAAAAGTTTAATTTTACCTCCAGAACACATTCTGAAACGGGGTGATAGTGAAGCAATTGCCTATGCTTTCTTTCATCTTCAGCACTGGAAACGAATAGAAGGTGCTCTTAATCTGTTACAGTGTACATGGGAAGGCAGTAAGTATTCTTTTCCAAAAGGAACACTAATCTAACTATTCATTGCATTCACAGGCAGTCTTTTTAAATGAGATTGTCTGGGTTTCCATAAGGATTTGTTGTTCAGATTGGTTTCAAACGGTAATCAGTGATGAGATATTTGGTTTATGGGTAGAAATGCATAATGTTATATTGATCCCACAAAAGCAGAGTGAGAAACTGTTATGGTGTTCTGCCATATGTTCATTTAAGTTACATATTTGTAAGGAAAGAGAATGAAAACTTGGCCCTTTGACTTACAGCTTTTTTAATGTGGTTGAGCTATTCTAATATTTTAAAAATTGGTCTCTTTTTGTTTTATTTTGTTTTCAGATGTATACAACATGGAGCTATTTTCTTCATAACTGATATCAACCTATTCTTTATTGTAAAATACATACAACATAAAATTTAGTTTTAACTATTTTAAGCATATAGTTCAGTGGCATTATATACGTTCCTAGTGTTGTACAAACATCACCATCATCCATCTACAGAACTTTTTCATTATCCCAAACTGAAATTCTGTACCCATTAAATAATAACTCCCCAGTCTTGCCTCCCTCAAGCCCATGGCAGCCACCATTCTACTTTGTCTCTATGAGTTTGACTACTCTAGGTACCTCATGTAAGTGGTATTATGTAATTTTTGTTCTGTTTTGTCTGGCCTTTTTCACTTAGTATAATATCTTCGAAATTCATTTATATTGGTAATATGTGTCAGAATTTCATTTTTAAGTCTGAATAATTCATTGTATGTATATACCACATTTTGTTTATCCATTCATCTGTTAATGAACAGATACCCATTCAACTTGGGTTGTTTTTACCTTTTGGCTATTGTGAATAATGCTGCTACAAATATTGGTGTACAAATACCTGTTCGAGTTCCTGCTTTCAGTTCTTTTGGGTATATACCCAGAAATGGAATTGCTGGATCATAAAATTCTATGTTTACTTTTTTAAGGAAGCTCAGTGGTGTTTTTTTCCATAGCAGCTGCACCATTTTACATTCCCACCAGCAAGGCACAAAAGTTCCAATTTCTAGGCCGGGCGCGGTGGCTCAAGCCTGTAATCCCAGCACTTTGGGAGGCCGAGATGGGTGGATCACGAGGTCAGGAGATCGAGACCATCCTGGATAACACGGTGAAACCCCGTCTCTACTAAGAAATACAAAAAACTAGCCGGGCGAGGTGGCGGGCGCCTGTAGTCCCAGCTACTCGGGAGGCTGAGGCCAGAGAATGGCGAGAACCCGGGAGGCGGAGCTTGCAGTGAGCTGAGATCCGGCCACTGCACTCCAGCCTGGGCTACAGAGCGAGACTCCGTCTCAAAAAAAAAAAAAAAAAAAAAAAAAAAGTTCCAATTTCTTCACATCCTTGCCAACACTTGTTATTTTCTGGGTTTTTTTCTTTATTTAAATAATAGCTCTCCTAATGGATGTGAAGTGGAATCTCATTGTGGTGGTGTTTTGCATTTCCCTGATTAGTGATGCTGAAGGTCTTTTCATGTGTTTATTGGCCATTTATGTATCTTCTTTGGAGAACAAATTGGACTGTTTTAAACTAACTACCCGATCTCTTAATCGTTGCTTCTTATAACCACCAAGAAAGTAAAGAAGCTTAATTAAAACATTTTACCTGTAGGATTCACATAATTCTTTTGAAAAGTACACCACAGCTATTAATAAAAATTCAAAAATAAATTCAACGCTTATTCACTAAAATTGGTTAACCCCCCTCAGTTCCCAGACTACTCTGAGGCACCTTGGATGTTGCAGCAATTCACAGGAGTGCTGTAGAACATTTTAAATTTTCAATGGAAACACAAAAATACAATATTCAAGTCTAGGTACGGTGGCTCATGCCTGTAATTTCAGCACTTTGGGAGGCTGAGGCCTCCCAAAAGGTCGAGGCTATAGTGAGCCGAGATGGCACTACTATACTCCAGCTTGAGTGACAGAGTGAGACCTTATCTCAAAAATAATAATAATAATAATAATTCGACATCTGTCAGATATTACTTAAACTATTAGCTCCAGACAGTTCACAGTTTCAACATTAGATCACTCTCCATTCCTTTCAATATCATTACATCTTTGCAAGCTGGAGTTTTGTTAGTTGCTGTGATTAAAAGAAGTACCACACAAAAATCAGTGTGAAATAGGAAATGAAGATGGTAGTGTCCAATGTGATTCCAAGTTTCGAGAAGTCGTACGGTGTCTAACAGGCTTATACCTATATCTCATTAGTAAGAAATTACGGTCATTTAAAAATGAAATAAGAAAATTGATTTATTGATTCTGTTTTTTAACTTTATGTGTATTTTTTTCCAAATTGCTGCTAAATTATTAGGACATAAATTTTTTTTTTTTTTTTTTGAGACGGAGTCTCACTCTGTCGCCCAGGCTGGAGTGCAGTGGCCGGATCTCAGCTCACTGCAAGCTCCGCCTCCCGGGTTCACGCCATTCTCCTGCCTCAGCCTCCCGAGTAGCTGGGACTACAGGCGCCCGCCGCCTCGCCCGGCTAATTTTTTGTATTTTTTAGTAGAGACGGGGTTTCACCATGTTAGCCAGGATGGTCTCGATCTCCTGACCTCGTGATCCGCCCGTCTCGGCCTCCCAAAGTGCTGGGATTACAGGCTTGAGCCACCGCGCCCGGCAGGACATAAATTTTTAAAGTTGTTTGGACTCACTATTAACAAGTGAAATTATCTTGAACCAATTTGGGAACCTCTGCATTAACCATTTGCTAAAGGCCAGATACTGTGGCTTGACAATAACAATATAAATACAATTGATGAGTCAAGTGTGGTGACTTATACCTGTAGTTCCAGCTACTAGGGAGGCTGAGGCGGAAGGATCACTTGAGGCCAGAAATTCGAGACCAACCTGGGCAACATAGCAAGACTCTCTCTAATATATATATATGTGTGTGTGTGTGTATGTTTTTAAAGAAAAGATTAATAAAACTGGGATTATGTACTTGAGAAACTGAATGTCTTTGAGTAATTCAACTTACTTTTGCTTTTTCTCCAGTAGTCCATAAGCTCCTCAAAAGCAGATATTCTATCTCATTCATTTTGTATGTGTCCTCACTGCCTGACATTCTGCTTGGCAAATAGGTTTTCAATAAGTGTATGATTTTATTTAATTTATTACTTTGTATGTGGAGATGAGGTCTTGCTATGTTGCCCAGGCTGGTCTTGAACTCCTGGCCTCAGGCAATCTTTCCACCTTGGCCTCCCAAAGGAGCTGAGTTTATAGGCATGAGCCATCGTGCCCAACCACTTATGATTTATACTGTATTTCATGAATCATGATCAATGATTTATTAGTGTTATCACTAATTTACTAATTTGGTCTACGACTTTGGACAAATAACTACTTTTTATTGTGGTAAAATAAAGTCTAGACTGGGCCTGGTGACTCACACCTATAATCCCAGAACTTTGGGAGGCTAAGGCGGGCGGATCACCTGAGGTCGGGAGTTTGAAACCAGCCTGACCAACATGGAGAAACCCTGTCTCTACTAAAAATACAAAATTAGCTGGGCATGGTGGCACATGCTACTTGGGAGGCTGAGGCAGGAGAATCACTTGAACCTGGGAGGCGGAGGTTGCGGTGAGCCGAGATCGTACCATTGCACTCTAGCCTGGGCAACATGTGCAAAACTCTGTCTCAATAAATAAATAAATAAATAAATAAATAAAGTCTAAATTGTGACAAAAGTTTATAGAGCCAAACATGAAAGGAAAAACAAAAATCTTATCACAATTTTGATGACTATAGCAGGCCCTTAAATAATATTGTTTCATTCAACATTATTTATTATAATGTTGATGAGGGAAAAAAACCCAAAAAACAGATTTCCAGCCAGGACCATTGTCTGTGTGAAGTTTGCAAGATATTCCCATGCCTGTGTGGGTTTCCCCTTACATCCCAAAGATGTGCACATTAGCTTAATTGGTGTATCGAAATTGTCTCAGTATGAGTGAGTGTGGGGGTGTGCGCGAGTGGTATACTGGAATGGTGTCTTGTCCAGGGTGGGTTTCTGCCTTGTACCCTGGGCTGCCATGATAGGCTCTGGCCATGCTTGACCCTGAACTAAAATAATTGGGTAAATAATGATCCTGTTTTTATGAATCTTAAATGTATATATAGCTCACATTTATTTCAATGTTTAATATAAGAAGTGTTTTGAATCTTTATGTAGAAGTTTGGTGATGTTTTGTGACCAAGGAACTTAACTCTTGTTTATATCATTTAGCCTATGGTAAAATTGTCATTTATTATATGACATTTCACTTAAAGTCACAGTTTCCAAGAACCTATTGACAGTGTTAAAGATTTATGTACTTAGCTAATGGAATAGATCAATAAAGATTTCTTCTTTAATAAATCTACAGTAGTTGGTGATAATCTAGATCGGGGTGGGCAAACTTTTCCTGTAAGGTGCTAAATAGTAAATATTTTAGATTTTGTGGGCCATACATTTTCACAGCTACTTGATTCTTGTAACATGAAAACAGCCTTAGCCAATATGTAAATGAATGGCATAACTATGTTCCAATAAAGTTTTATTTACAAAAACCTAGTGGGCCAGACCTGGCCAAAGGGCCATACTTTGGTGACCCGTGATCTAGATTAAGATCTGCTCATAGGCTGGGCGCGGTGGCTCACGCTTGTAATCCCAGCACTTTGGGAGGCCAAGGTGGGCAGATCACAAGGTCAGGAGATCGAAACCATCCTGGCTAACATGGTGAAACCCCGTCTCTACTAAAAATACAAAAAATTAACCAGGCGTGGTGGCAGGCACCTGTAGTCCCAGCTATTCGGCATGCTGAGGCAGGAGAATGGCGGGAACCTGGGAGGCAGAGCTTGCAGTGAGCTGAGATCGCGCCACTGCACTCCAGCCTGGGCGACAGAGCAAGACTCTGTCTCAAAAAAAAAAAAAAAAAAAAAATCTGCTCATAGAAAGCTTTGGTGAAACCCACATGTGAGGTTAGGAGCCATTGAAAACTATTTTAGGTTGCCAGTAGTAATGGCCACAACAGTTATATACATCCCAGTTATATGAAGATTTCTGTAAGAAGCAGAATTATCAATTCTTCTTTGGAATTATCAATTGTGTTTGTAATGAGGAGACTGAAGCAAAGAAGGACCCAGCCAGTCTCATCTACCACTCCCTATAGTTTTACTCCAGCCAGACTAGACCGTTCACTATTATCTAAATAAATCTTATCCTTCCCCTTATTCATTCTTTTGCTTACTTTGTTTCTTGTATCTAAATGTCTCACTAAAAAAGAAAATAAAATACTATGTGAAATTTTTATATAAATTTGTCTCCAAAATAGCTTTGATCTATAGTATAGGATGGTAAATGAGACAGAATTGAGTATCAACACAAGCTTTTTTTTCTCAGCTTTTAGAATGATTCCACACCCGTTAGAGAAAGGACATCTATTTTACCCTTATCCCAGCTGCACAGAGATGGCTGATAGAGAGCTATTACCTAGTAAGTAAATATTTTGGTTTTCTTAAACTTACAAGTAGTTTTAAGTTTAGATTGTTTGTCATAGTATTCTCCATTTTAAAAGTGCCTTTGGTTGAAATTCAGGACACTGTTTAAATACTATTTTAGCTACTTCTGGGATGTAGTTGTCTAATTCAATTTATTTCCAAATAATTATTGAGCAAAACCCTGTGCTAAATGCAACAAAGGACACCAAGATTAAAGATATTAACAAGAACTGTCATCTTACAAACATTTAGAAAAGAAATAATGCCAATCCTTCACAAACTCAGAAAATAAATGAGGAAAGAATACTCCCCAAATCATTTGATGAGAGCAGTATCTTCCTGATACCAAAACCAAAGATAATATGATATAAAAAGACTATAAAACAACAGCCCTTATGAATATAGACACAAACATCTTCAACAAAATATTAGGAAACTGAATCTAGCAACATATAGAAAGGCTTATATACCATGACCAAGTGGGATTTACCTCACAAATGCAAGTTTGGTTTAACATCTGAAAATGTAGTGTACCATGGTTAATAGAATAAAGCACAATAGATGCAGAAAAAGCATTTAACAAAATCTGGCTCTCATTCAAGATAAAAAGAAAAAATCTCAACAAACTACAAATTGAAGGGGACTTCCTCAACCTGATTTTTAAAAAAATCCCTGAAAAACCCACAATTAACATTATACTTAATGGTAAAAGACTGAATGCTTTCCCCCTAAGATCGGGAATAAGACAAGGATATCTGTTGTCACCACTTCTATTCAATATTCTACTAGAGGTTCTAGCTGGTGTTACCAGGCAAGAAAAAGAAATAAGAGGCATTCGTATTGGCAAGGAGGAAGTAAAACTCTCCTTATTCAAAGGTGACATGATCTTCTATATAGGAAATCCTAAGAAATCCATAAAAATGAAAATACTCTTAGAACTAATAAATGAGTTCAACAGGGTTGTAGAATATAAGATAAATATACTAATATTAATTATATATCTATGTATTAGTAATGAACAATCTGAAAATTGAATTTAGAAAAGAGTAGCAATCATAATAACAACAAAAACTACTTAGGAATAAATTTAACAAATTTAAGACATGTACACTAAAATATTGCTGAGAGAAATTAAAGAAAAACTAAATAAATGGAGAGACATTCCATATTGATGGATTGGAAGACCCAATTATATTTACTTATTTATTTATTTGAGACCAACTCTTAACTCTCGCCCAGGCTGGAGTGCAGTGGCAAGATCTCAGCTCACTACAACCTCCGCCTCCTGGGTTCAGGTGATTCTCGTGCCTCAGCCTCCCGAGTAGCTGAGATTACAGGTGCGTGCCACCACGCCTGGCTAATTTTTGTATTTTTGGTAGAAAGAGAGTTTCGCCCTGTTGCCCAGGCTGGTTGCGAACTCCTGGGGTCAAGAAATCCACCTGCCTCAGCATCCTAAAGTGCTGAGCCTACAGGCATGAGCCACCGTACCTGGCCCCAATATTATTTAGATGACAGTTCTCTCCAAATTGATCTATAGATTCAATACAATCCCTATCAAAATCCCAGGAGGGATTTTGCACGCGCGCACACACACACACACACACACACACAAAGTAACAAGCTTATTCTAAAATGTATATAGAAAGGCAAAGGACCCAAACAATCTTTATGAAGAACGATTTGAAAAAGAGCAGCCAAAGAACTAGAAGGAGAACCAGAAATATGTAGGATTATGATTGCTGATAGTGTTTCAGTCTAGTTCCTGCCTTTAGGAAGCCAGGCTTCTCAAAAGAACAATCTACACTTTGTGTCTCAGCTGCCTTATCATCTGTTCTTTTCTCTGTAAACTAGTACATTTCTGTTTAACTTCTCTTTTTATGATTTAGCTGAGAAGCAACCTTGCCGAAGGCTGTAAACACTAGGACCATGTTTTCTTATATGATATAAACCTGTGCTACAGTTTTCACAATACTGAGCCATTAGAACTGAAGTCTAGGAAGGAAAGTTGCAGGTTTACAACTGTCAAACTTAATTAGTTGATAAGTTTAAACTGATAAATGAAAATTTAGGAGAGATTATGGCAACCTGAGTATGCTGGTGTTTTTCTCCTAGTGTTTTTTATTTTCCTTTATCTGCTAAGTGATCTCTTCCTTCTCTGAATTCTCAGAGTGCTTTATGTACTTCTTAATCTCCCCTTTTAGACTGTAAACTCCTTGAAGGCCAGGATTCTCTTCTTTTTTCTTTTTTTTTTTAGATGGAGTTTCCTCCCTTGTTGCCCTGACTGGAGTGCAATGGCCTCATCTCGGCTTACTGCAACCTCTGCCTCCCAGGATCAAGTGATTCTCCTGCCTCAACCTCCAGAGTAGCTGGGATTACAGGCGCCCACCACCACACCCAGCTAATTTTTTTGTATTTTTAGTACAGACAGGGTTTCACCATGGTGGCCAGGCTGGTCTGGAACTCCTGGCCTCAAGTAATCCACCCACCTTGGCCTCCCAAAGTGCTAGGATTACAAGTGTGAGCCACTGCACCTGGCCATTGTTCCTGTATCTCTTGTAATGGTTGCCATAAAAATTGTTATTCAATAAATATTGGTTGAATTAATCAAATTCATTAATGTATTCTTATAAACATGGCTGGCACATTGTAAGTACTTAACTAAAATGCTAAATATTAGTGCCTTCTCCCTCTCACCCTATTCTGAACTCCTAGGCTGCTGATAAGGTTGATAAAAAGATGATGGACAGGCCAGGCACAGTGGTTCACATTTGTAATCCCAGCACTTTGGGAGGTTGAGGCGAGCAGATCACCTGAGGTCAGGAGTCCGAGACCAGCCTGGCCAACATGGTGAAACCCCATTTCTACTAAAAATACAAAAAATTAGCCCAGCATGGTGGTGCGTGCCAGTGATACCAACTACTCGGAAGGCTGCGGCAGGAGAATCGCTTGAACCTGGGAGATGGAGGTCGCAGTGAGCTGAGATTGCGCCACTGCACACCAGCCTGGGCAACAGAGTAAGACTCTGTCTCGAAAAAAAAAAAAAAAAAAAAGATGATGAACAATGTGTTAAATGCTACATGTATAGAATATATTATAAGAAAGCTTGAGAAGGGCTGGGCACAGGGACTCATGCCTGTAATCCCAGCTCTTTGGGAGGCTGAGCTAGGCAGATCACTTGAGGTCAGGAGTTCGAGACCAGCCTGGCCAACATGGCAAAACCCCATCTCTACTAAAAATACAAAAGTTAACCAGGTATGGGGCTCACGCCTGTAATCCCAGCTCTTTGGGAGGCTGAGCTGGGCAGATCACTTGAGGTCAGGAGTTCGAGACCAGCCTGGCCAACATGGCAAAACCCCATCTCTACTAAAAATACAAAAGTTAACCAGGTATGGTGGCTCACGCCTGTAATCCCAGCTACTCAGGAGGCTGAGGCAGGAGAATTGCTTGAACTCAGGAGGTAGAGGTTGCAGTGAGCCGAGATCGTGCCATTGCACTCCAGCCTGGGTGACAAAGCAAGACTCTGTCAAAGAAAGACAGAGAGAGAGAGAGAGAGAGAGAGAGAGAGAGAGCGAGCCTAGCTCTCTAGGAGGTCAAGAATGATTCTCAATTTTCTGACTTGGGTGACTTGGAGAATGGTAAATCTATCCTATAGAAGGAGGAGCCAGTTTGGGAATAGGGGTTGGGGAAATAAATAAGTTCAAGCTTTGACTGTGTTTCCTGTGTAACATCTCATCCATATATACATGCATACCTGTATATGTGTATATATATATGTACATATATAGAAATTTTTTTTTTTTTTTTTTTTGAGACGGAGTCTCGCTCTGCCGCCCAGGCTGGAGTGCAGTGACTGGATCTCAGCTCACTGCAAGCTCCGCCTCCAGGTTCACGCCATTCTCCTGCCTCAGCCTCCCGAGTAGCTGGGACTACAGGCGCCCGCCACCTCGCCCGGCTAGTTTTTCGTATTTTTCAGTAGAGACGGGGTTTCACCGTGTTAGCCAGGATGGTCTCGATCTCCTGACCTCGCGATCCGCCCATCTCGGCCTCCCAAAGTGCTGGGATTACAGGCTTGAGCCACCGCGCCCGGCCACAGAAATTTATATGCTTAAATATTTTCTTGTATAATCTACTTAACACATATACATACAAGTCTATATTTTATCTCTCTAAGTAATATATAGGTATAGATGTATTTTTAAGTTATATATATAATATAGATTATAAAGTAAACATATAATATTTATAATTAGTGAATGTTATAGGCGTAAGTAATAGAGAGCAACTTTGAACTAGCTTAAACATACATAGTGATTTGTTGGAAGAACACCGGGTTATCAGAGAACTCAAAATCAACAATTATATTTGAACTTTGTAAGGGACTAGAACTGGGGACTAGAAAGTCATTAGGATTTCCAGGAATCAATTATTTGAATATCTCTGTCCCTAGATGCTTTTTTCAGTCTTTCCTATTCTTACTTTCCTTTCCTTCCTCCCCAGCCCCATTTTCTCTTTCTGTGATCTGTCATTGCTGTTTCTCTCAGTGTATCCACTTCATTCTTACATCTTTTCTCTTTACAGTTTGGCTTTCTTCATAGACCATGTGGCCAAACTTGAGGCCCCTACAGCCCTCTGTTTACATGTCATGAGTTCAGGCAAACAATACAGAATGAATAGTATCTCAATCTCACTTTTTCTTTTCTTTTCTTTTTTTTTTCCTTTTTTTTTTTTTTTTTTTGAGACAGGATTTCACTGTCAGGCTGGAATGCAGTGGCACATTCACGGCTCACTGCAGCCTCGACTTCTCAGGCTCAAAAGATCCTCCCCACTCTGCCTCCTAAGTAGTTGGGACCACAGGCATGTGCCACCATGCCTGGCTAATTTTTGTATTTTTGGTAGAGATGAGGTTTCACCATGTTGCCCAGCCTGGTCTTGAACTCCTGAGCTCAAGTGATCTGCCTGCCTCAACAAGTGTTGGGATTACAGGTGTAAGCCACTGCAACCAGCCTCAATCCCACTTCTAAAACTTCTGGGAGAGAGAGAATGAAATTTATCCAGGTGTTTACTCCTTGTCCAGTCAGCTGTGGCCTAAGACAAGATTAGGTTGTGTAAATAAAATTGCCAGTGGTCCTCATATATCTTCCTCTGTACATCTCAAAAAACAGACTTGGGAGTCATCATTTTCTAAGTAGCAAAAGAAGTCCTAGGCATAAATGAAATCACTAAGGAAAACTGTATGCAGTGACAATTGAACTGAGGGTGGAACCATGGGTGCATTCCTTAAAAATGTCTAAGGAATGAGTGGCAGAAAGAGTTGAAGATTCAGTGAAGAGGTTGTCGGAGAGACAGGACAATAACTAAAACTAGATATCCTAGAACTAAAAGGAAGAAGAAATTTCCAAGTGAGGAGGAATATCTGAGATAATAGGTAAAGTAAATACTAAGAAGAATTCATTGACTCTAGCAATTAAGATGTCATTAATGAGAGAAATTTTATTTTTCTTCCTGAAGTGGTGGTAGTGGTAGTTGTTCTTATTGTCTTTCCATTTTAACGGGAACAAGTATATTTAAGGCAAAAGAATGGACCTTAAATTATGGAACGTCATGATGTATGCAAGAGTGTATTATATTAAGCTAATACATTTAGCCTAAAATAATGCCCTCCTTTGTAAATTATTACAAAGGTTGTCTAATATAAGGCCAATTTTACATAGTAATATGAATAAAATCAGGGTTATTATCATGTTGTCAAAGCCATAAGCTATAAGACCAGTTTATTTTTGGCAAGACTTTATAAATTCCAACTCCATATAGGGTGCAAACTCCAGAAGGTAGGAGAGGGGTAATATGCTGGGGGGTTTTGTTTGATTATATTTTATGTTCTTAGAGTATTTTTTCTGTCTGTGGCTATGGTAGAATGAACAAATTGTTAACAATATGGAGTTTTAATACCCAGGAGTACTTAATGTTTTTTGTTTTTAATTTTCCTTCAACCTTGATATGACTTACCGCATTCTGGAATTTGCTTATGGACCTCATAAGTTCAGAGTTGAACTATTCCCCTAGTTCACATAGCTATTTAGTCGTCTTTTATGCCTTCTGATAAATTTTTCTCTACAAGCCAGTGATGAAATTTGAACTTTCGTTCCAAGGGAGTGTTTCTGTAATAGTCAGTCATTTATTATTTTGATGTGTTAGCCAAACATTGACTGACAAATGAATCTACAGAAAGCAATCCAGAAAGAAATAATTAGGTCTCTCCTACAGTATAAAAATCTCATATTTCAGGAAATTTCCTTACTAAAGCTATGCAGTTTTCTACCTTATAAACTGAGAATAATACTACTATCTCTTACGGTTACTGAAAAGAATTAAATGAGTTAATATAAATTAAAGTTCTTTATAAACCATAAAATGCTATATAGGTTAGCTAATATTATTAACTTTGCTGTATTGTATGTGTTTCCCACCTTCTTGAATACCAGGGTTTGTTTCTCTTGATTTGAAGTTGGGAAGAAGAAGAAGTTGGCCTCTCACAGCTGAGGGACAGGGCAAAGGGGATTGCTGACTGATTCTCTGGGTGCTGAAAACACAATGTTCTCTACAGTTTCTAATGTTTCTACCTTTTAAAACTTCCATTTTGATGTGCTTTTACTTTAAACAAGGCTCAAGGTTCTGGAAATTTTCTGGATTTTTAATGAGTTTGTGTTTTGGTATATACTTTCTGAATATAGTAAAATAAAAATTAAAATATAGCTGTTGAAGGAAGCTTAGGTGTAATCTCTGTGAATCATTATGTTTTAAAAGTGAAATTTATAGCTGACCTTGGTTCAGCACAAAATTAGTCATCCCTTACTAATGCAGGATATTACATCAGAAATTCCTGGGTTAGTATCCAGCCCTAAGCGGTCAACTTCCTGGCCTAATGAAGTCCCAGAATAGCTCTCAGTTTAGCAGACATTTATTGAGCACCTACTGCATGTTAAGTACTCTAATAGGCTCATCTCAGTATTATTATTCAAGTATTTTCAAATTTCAAATAAAATATAAATACTTGAGTATAATTGATAATGAAATATCCAATCACTAGAATAATAATAGCTGAGTAAATGTGTAAATATGGTAAAATAAGATAAGGGACTTTATTTATGGTCAGAATCCTAGGCCTTTGGTTTGCTAGTTTAGGTTTTGTTTTGTTTTGTTTTGTTTTGAGATAGCGTCTTGCTCTGTTGCCCAGGCTAGAGTACAGTGGCATGATCTTGGCTCACTGCAACCTCCGCCTCTCAGGTTCTAGCCATCCTCCTGCCTCAGCCTCCCAAGTAGCTGTGACTACAGGTGCACATCACCATGCCTGGCTAATCTTTCTATTTTTAGTAGAGATGGGGTTTCACTATGTTGGCCAACCTGGTCTCAAACCCCTGACCTCAAGTGATTCACCCGCCTTGGCCTCCCAAAGTGCTGGAATTACAGACATGAACAACCATGCCTGGCCTACCTACTTTATTTATTTATTTATCTATTTATTTATTTTTGAGACAGAGTCTTGCTCTGTTGCCAGGCTGGAGTGCAGTGGCGTGATCTTGGCTCACTGCAGCCTCTGCCTCCCGGGTTTAGGTGATTCTCCTGCCTCCGCCTTCCTGAGTAGCTAGGACTACAGGTGCATGCCACCACGCCCACCTAATTTTTATATTTTTAGCAGAGACGGGGTTTCACCATGTTGGCCAGGATGGTCTCGATCTCTTAAGCTCGTGATTCTCCTGCCTTGACCTCCCAAAGTGCTGGGATTGCTGGGATTACAGGCGTGAGCCACTGCTCCCAGCTTACCTACTTTAGTTTTTACAGTGCCTAATGAAATGCCACATATATAAACACATTAATAACTGGATAAAATTATTAACTGATAGTTCTAGGAAATCACCAATGACATGTCTGCCTCTTTCTCCATACTAGTTTTTGAGCTCCCAAAGAACAATAATTAATAACAACTCAAGGCCAGGTGTGGTGGCTCACACCTGTAATCCCAGCACTTTGGGAGGCCAAGGTGGACAGATCACTTTTGGCCAGGAGTTTGAGACCTGCCTGGCCAACGTGGCAAAACCCCTCTCTACTAAAACTACAAAAAAGTAACTGGGCGTGGTGGCCTGTGCCTGTAATCCCAGCTACTTGGGAGGCTAAGGCACAAGAGTCACTTAAACCTGGGCGGCAGAGGTTGCAGTGAGCCAAGATCGTGTCACTGCACTTTAGCCTGGGCAACAGAGCGAGACTCTTCTTCAAAAAAAAAAAAAAGTAGCAACTCAGATTTATGTATTTATTTGGAGACAGATCTGTCACCCAGGCTGGAGTGCAGTAGAATGATCATAGCTCACTGCAACCTCAAACTCCTGAGCTCCAGTGATTTTCCCACCTCATCCTCCTGCGTAGCTGGGACTACAGGCACACACCACCATGCTGGGCTAATTTTTAAAAATTTTTAAGAGATGGGGGTCTCACTATTTTGCTTAGACTAGTGTCAAATGCCTGGCTTTAAGCAATCCTCCTCTTCAGCACCACCAAAGTGCTGGGATTACAGACATGAGCCGCCACCAGTGGCTGCAACTCACATTTATTAAGCACTTAAAATGTTCATCATTACAACTCTCCATAGCAACTTCTAGAGGGTTTAGCAACTTATTCAAGATCACATAGCTAATAAGTGACAAAGCTTTTTTTTTCAAAGTCACCTCAGCATGACTTTGTAATCAATGTTCTTTCCCATGATGCCATCCTGTTCCCACGCCCAGCACAGTTGTCTGTCTATTTAGATATGCTGTTGATGCTGGGATAAGTAATGGATAACTGTCTTCTACCTTGCTTAGCCAGAGACTTGGTTTTTAAATTTTTTTTTCTTTTTTGTTTTTAAAAGCAGATTTCATTTGAAAAGATTAAGACTTACTTACATGTTATTCTGAAATAAAATTGATTCTTACCTATTCTCCCTTGCAGCCTTTCATCATGTTTCTGTTTACCCAAAGAAGGAGCTTCCTTTGTTCATCCATTTCACAGCAGGATTTTGCTCTTCTACAGCAATGATAGCCATTCTCACACACCAGTTTCCTGAAATCATGGGTATTTTTGCTAAAGCTGTAAGTATGATCTCAAGGACTTGTGTGGATTATTTGTAAAACACACAAGAAACCATCTCTGATCTGCCTGTGCTAACTCAGCTGAACAGTGGAAGATATTTGTTGTAAATTAAAGGAATTGATTTGTATAGCTGCTGCCATAAATATGTCAAACATAAATTTTTGGTGATCTGAGCTACTTCTGTTGCTTAAAAGTTTAAAGAATACAATGTAAGATTATAACAGTATAACATTATAAAGTTTGCTCTTATGGATCACTTTTGATGATAAACATAGCATTTGTTACTATCTTTGGTATTTTAAAAAATACCCTATTTTGTAAACAAACCCTTTGATTTTTTTCATTTAAATGGAATCATTCGTTCTCAGGATTTGTTGAACTTTAAACTCAAGAGCACAACTAGGATGGATAATAAGTACATAAGGCAGGGGGACAGATGAGACATTGGTCCCTAGGTACAGAATGTGCCTATGTCTCAAAGATTCTCCAAGTTATTGTGTCTGCTTGTTCTTACTGACCTTCTCCAGGCTTGGATATAGAACCATGTGTAGATCTTTATTTTCATTTTTACCCTTTAGTTTTGAACTGCTTCCCCAATTCCTGAACCAGTTAATACTTGAGGACTGATATTAGAGTGGGTATCCCATCACTATTGACTCTTTTTTTTTTTTTTTGAGATAAGGTCTCACTCTGTCACCCAGGCTGGAGTGTAGTGGTACGATCTCAGCTCACTGCCGCCTCTGCCTCCTGCGTTCAACAGTCGTCCTGCTTCAGCCCCCCGAGTACCTAGGACTATAGGCATATGCCACCATGCCCAGCTAATGTTTGTATTTTTTGTAGAGGCAGGGTTTTGCCACGTTGCCCAGGCTGGTCTTGAACTCCTGGGCTCAAGTGATCTGCCCGCCTCGGCCTCCCAACGTGCTGGGATTACAGGCATGAGCTGCCATGCCCAGCAACTATTTACTCTTCTATATAAACTTGTTAATTAATGTCACTGGCTCAAAGTAAAATTAGCAAAGATAATTGCCTTTAAGTCTCCAAGCCTTCTTCTTTTTTTTTTTGAGATGGAGTCTTACCCAGTTGCCCAGGCTGGAGTGCAGTGGCATGATCTCGGCTCACTGCAAGCTCCACCTCCCGGCTTCACGCCATTCTCCTGCCTCAGCCTCCCGAGTAGCTGGGACTACAGGCGCCTGCCACCATGCCCAGCTAATTTTTTTGTATTTTTAGTAGAGACAGGGTTCCACCATGTTAGCCAGGATGGTCTCAATCTCCTGACCTTATGATCCACCCGCCTCGGCTTCCCAAAGTGCTGGGGTTACAGGCGTGAGTCACCATGCCCAGCCTCCAAGCCTTTTAAAAAATGCATCTTTCTTGTACATCTTTGCATTTCTACCAGGTAATAAGAGTTAAAACCCAAAAAGAAAATGCTGATTAATTATATTCCCCAAAATAAAAACACTGAGAACCATGGAAAAACTAGTCCTTACTTGGTAATATATTTTCTGTATTTTTCTCTATATGCCTCCATTCTAACTTGTTTCCTCACAGTTTCTTTTTCTGCCTTAAGAATAGTTTATTTTGTGCCTTAAAGATTAGTTGGCTTTTTTCTGGCACCAGTGGTAAGAGCAGTGGTTTCCCTTTTTCCCTGAAGGTCAGCCATATAATGTGTTAAGTTGCCACTGGCTGTAGGCCTAGGAGTCTGAGTCTGCACTTGATTCTGGGTCAAACTTCAAGAAGAATGACTTTCCACTGTTGTTCAGGGAGTATAGCTATTTGGTTTGGAAACTGACTATTCTATTTCTTTTTAGTGTAAAATGAACACTCAGTGATCACACTCGTAACTGTTGTTTGCAATAGTGCTAATAGTTGAGTGAGTGCATCTCAAACTTAAATAACCTTACTATGTAATCTGGCATGGAATAAAAATGGCCTAGAAAGAGAATTCCATCCATTTAATAGCTGGAAAGAAAATGTGCAACTGTGTATGTGAGATCACAGGCAAGCAATGGGAGAGATGATTCTTGGATTTGTCTCAGGCAAGTGGAGTGGGAAGGAAGTGAAATAGAGCAAGGAGGGAGATCTAGAATCTGAAATAGATCTATACCAACTGTTAGTAGTATATTTCCATGGGGTACTAGCTACAATTAATGTATATAGTGTCTGCCTTTACCTAGGCAGTCACTAATGGCACCAGAAGAACCTTTATGATTACATAGCGTAAGTTCCTTAGCACTCCTCTAGCAGAGACTGAGAATGAATAATTACATGTTTTAAAGTGGAAGCTTCTTTTGCAGACCAAAAGTTATTGATATACTGCTTTTCCAGTTGATGGATAATGAACAAGCATTTATTTTGGTGTCTGTATAGGTGATGGTATATAGTGTTAAGAATGTGCCTAATGGTAAAACTTTTAGAGCCCCATTTTTATCCCTGTGGCCCTTACATGTACATTTTAAAACCCTAAAGGCTAAGTATTTACTGAAAGTTCCTGCAAACCAGTATTTGTGCAGGATTTCCAAAGTCAGGTTCCATTAAGAGTTAATGGGAAATGACTGTGGTATGGGCAGTTTCCAGCTTTTTTTTTCTTTTTCTTTTTCTTTTTGAGACAGAGTCTCGCTCTGTCACCCAGGCTGGAGTGCAACCATGTGATCTCAGCTCACTGCAACCTCCGCCTTCTGGGTTCAAGCAGTTCTCCTGCCTCAGCCTCCTGCGTAGCTGGGACTATAGGCACGTGCCACAACACCTGGCTAACTTTTTTATTTTTAGTAGAGATGGGGTTTTGCCATGTTGGCCAGGCTGGTCTCGAACTTCTGACCTCAGGTGATCAACCCACCTTGGCCTCCCAAAGTGCTGGGACTACAGGCGTGAGCCACCATGCCCGGCCAGTTTCCAGCTTATAAACACAATGTGTTAATACCTTTATAGACAGACAAACAGCAAGGGAACTAGAGGCTTAAATTACACTTCTTCGCCACTTCATAGAGTGTGCTCTATGCAGTAGGAGCATCACCATCACCCAGGAGCTCATTAAAAATGCATAACTTCAGGCACCACTCCAGACCTTCTGAATCAGAATCTGCATTTTAACAAGATCCCCAGGTGATCCTATATATACATTTAAAACTTGGGGAAACTTGCTGTACTCTACGCCTAATAAGAGGAATTTAGAACAGCTCAATAGTGCTGCCTTGTCAAGGTGGAAAAGAGGCAGCATTGCAGAGTGGTTATGAAATAGGCTCTGGAGGCGCTTTGAATTCTAGCCCTGAAACACTGCTGTACAACGTCAGGTAAGTTACTTAACCTTTTCTAGCCTTAGTTGTAAAAGGAGAATAATACTACCTCTCATGGGTTTTGGTGAGCGTTAAATGACTTTAAAAGATTCAAGTGTTAGGAAGGACTATGTCTACCCACAGTGAAAACTAGGTGAATGTTAGCTGTTGTTGCTACCTTCATTGTCATCATCATCACCAAAGTGCAACAATAGTGGGAAACCCTACCTCCTTCTTGTTTAAAGGAGACATGTCCTAACAGTCAGCTCAAAATGCATTTTTCCGTAGAAACTGTAGTATAAATGGTGGTTGGGTATAATTTTAAAAACACTATTAGTAGGCCAGGTGCAATGGCTTTCCTGCCTGTAATCCCAGCACTTTGGGAGGCCAAGGCAGGTGGATTGCTTGAGCTCAGGAGATCATGACTAGCCTGGGTAACATGGTGAAACCCCATCTCTATCAAATATACAGAAAAGTTTGCCAGGTGTGGTGGTGTGTACCTGTGGTCCCAGCTATTCAGGAGGCTGAAATGGGAGGATCGCTTGAGCCTGGGAGGTGGAGGCTGCAGTGAGCCAAGATTTCACTACTGCACTACAGCCTGGGCAACAGAGCAAGACCCTGTCTCAAAAATATATATATATATTGTTACTACTATGCTTTTGGCACATTATGTGTATATGAATGTAGAAAGTGAAGAAATGTTTCAGGTTCTAAGCAACTACCTTGTAGAACAGAACCTGTTGGTAAGTTACAAACTGTCTGTGTTAGCATTTCCAGTTAACTCAGATATTTGATGGCCAAATAAAGTAGAAATTGATGAAGTATCTTTGAGACATACTTGTTGTATTTCAGAAGACAGACTTTTAAAAATTTTCCTAAATTTCTTTATTGTTACCATTGTCTCTTTCTTATCTAATATCTTTTCGTAATAGCTCACATGCCAGAGCAAATTGAATTTGAATTTCTTAAAATGCATTTGTTACAAAAATTGCGTTATTGTGAGACCAGGCAGTGGAGACTGAATTTAAATAATTCTCACTGTACATCAGATTTAGAGAAATGAAAGGGAATTAACTAGAATGGCTAATGGTTTTAATGCCTCTTCTTTTGCATGGTATAATGCTATGTGGAATAAGACTTCATTTTTAGCAAGTTAGGATTTTTTCCCCCTGATTTTTCTCCTGGCTGAGATGAAAACCTAGTCTGACATTAGACACAGAGCAATGAAAAAGTGTTGCATAAATCCCTGGAGATGTGGAATGTGCTTATATCAGAGCTGATATTCTCTAAGGCCAGAATTCCTGAAAAAGGAAAAATTGCTTTTAAGTGGTAGGTCATTTTCTCACCTGCTTTGAAGCCTGCTGGATTAAATATGAGAGTTCAAAGTAAGGGTAGCCAGCAAACCAACTGAACTGGAATCTGATTCTGCTTATCTGAAAGGAGCTTCTTTATTTAAGAACAGCACTGCCCTCTCCTTAGAGAACCAATCTTCTACTCTGGCCCCTTTCATTTCTCTCTTGCAAGAAAAGTGTTCTTCTTAGCAAGGCTTGGGAGGGTGTTATCACAACCGTGAAAAGACTTAAAGATGGTCTTGGGGGTTTCACTAACTTATTGATAAACTCAGGCTTGTGGTATGTGACTTTAGTGTTTTGAATTCAGAAGTGTGTTTAAATATAAAAGTCCCTAGTTGAGGCCAGGCATGGTGGCTCACGCCTGTAATCTCAGCACTT